TTCGGTGCGTCCCACGATGATCCGATCGGCGATGGACTCTCTGGCCTGATAGAGTCCTCGTTCTTGATCTTCAAGGGCTCGTTGGTCTTCCAGCCGTGAGCGCTCCACGTCACTGGATTCTCGGGGTCGAGCGGTGGGCGGTTGGGGATTCAGTCGTACGCTCTCCACGTCTCTGGGTTCTTGAGGTCGAGCGGAGGGTGGCTTGGAATCCATCCAAACGCTCGACATGTCTCTGGATTCTTTGGGTCCCGCTCCTGGCTCTTCCGTGTTGTCTTTCTTGTTCTCCATCTGCTGGGAGATGTTCCACTTCGAGGCCATCTTGCTATCGTCGCGGATGGGTTCGTCGACCTGGCGCTTGTCGTAGTGGCGCTCGACGGGGAGGATCCACCCTGGGTGCCTTCTCCGTCATGTGGGCCCTGGTCAGCTCCGAGTAGTGGATGGACTGCTCGATGCTCCTCTTCTGGTTCTCCAGGATGACGGCGTCCTCTTGCTTCTCCATCTCCTCCGCTGTGTCTGTGCATGGGCATGACCTGCAACGAACTAGGCTCGTCTCGTTGCGCTTCTTGTGGTTCGTCCTGTTGCGGACCACGAGTGCAGGGTCGATGTTTTGCTTGGCTGCCATCGCGTCGTAGTTCTTGCTGGTCTCTTTGGCGCTGGTGAGCATGTACTTTGGCTCGCCGACCGCCTCTCCTGGCTGGCCTCCTCGATGCATGGCTTATCAAGGCTTGATCCCTGCCAGTGGTGATGCCGCTCCCGCAGTCGACGTTGAAGACTGGAAGCCGAACAAGCTACAGTAGAGGCTCGGCCTGCCGTAGTGGCCTCCTCTCTTGGTCCCTGGGTCTGTTGGTACGTAGGTCGGTAGGTAGGGCTCCATGCCGCTGGCGTCGTTCGGCGTGGGAGGCGGGTCGGTAGTTTTTATCCTCTGCCTCTTTGAGACCTCTCGGCACAACTTTGGAGCCCTTTGAGGTGTGTGTGTGTGCATGTAGTTAAGGCAGCTCGCTCGCCGTAGTAGTTGAGGAAGGGAGGGGCAGAGGAGCCTGGATGGGAGGGTAGGTGGTGGGTGACATTTATGCAGATGGCGCCGTAGAATTCATTGGTGTCGGTTGGATGCTCGATGGCGAGTCGTCTTCCCTTTCCCCTTAGTGTCCGTAGTTCGTGTTCAGTCGTCGCCCTGCTCGGCATCGGAGTGCTAGCTGATATAGCTCTTTGCTTCTGTCGCGTTGCGTAGCTAGTTCTGTAGTCATTATGGGTCTCCTTCTCACTTATTTTGCACTGCAGCTGCCTCTCCACCGCGCGCTCCAGCTCTGTTTTTGGTCCAGTGCCTCGCCCCATCTCTGCGCTGAGGTCCAGCAGCACATGTCCCAGGGCCTGCTCGAAGAACTGTGGGGAGTAGTTGTCCAATACCGTCAACGTTTCCTCGTTCAGGTTGCTTTGTTCCATTGCCACCCTCACATGCGGTAATGCATGGATGATGTACATGATCTTGCCCTTCGCGGCGTTGCCGTTGTCCTCCTTGCCTTGGGCTTGTAAACTTCTTCTACTTTGCACATGTGCGCCGTCTCCACCACGAAGTCTCTGCTATTCTCTAGCGACGCCGCCTGCATTCATTGCTGAAACACGTTCTGGCTCCAGGCGGATATGGCGTCTAGCATGCCCTCTCGGTCTCGAGCTTCCTGCTCAGGTCTTCGGGCGCTGCCGTGACCAGGGCCAGAACTCCGTGTGCCAGCGGCGCTCCAAGTCTGTAGCCCTTGCCTGCTGCTCGTGCACCTTAGGCAATGCTTAAGACAACTTAAGTTTTCGGCCAGAGTCTCGATTATTCTTAACGTTTCAATGTAAATCTTAAGATGTAAATAGAAAAGTTGGGTTTTTTTATCCAAGTTCTGAGACTATGAATTTCTTAACCCATGATTTCTTAAGCATTTCGCAGGGTGTACCCGCATCGCGCAGCCCCTTCCTGGTTCGAGCGTTTCTCGGAACAGTAATGGCAATGCTGCTGTGAGCCAGACGGCCAGGTTCGCGTGCATCAGTTGCCTCAGGTCCTGCGCGTTGCGCGAGGAGAGGCGCTGGAGGCCGTTCGGGTTCTGCACGGGGTCCTGCTGGCCGTCTCTTTGTCCGCGTCCTCGTTCTGGCCGTGGCGAGCCTCAGCTGCCCGACGAGATGCCTGGTGAATAGCCTTTGTCTGAAGCTTTTGCCGCCACCTCCAACTGGGAGCCGTGATGATCTTCTTCTGGGCGGTTCCCTCTAGTCCTCCTTAGCTTTCTGCCGTCATTTTCAGCCCCCCAAGATGGTGGGTTGATCATCGTGTTCCCCTTCTTCTCGTCCATTCGTCACCGAGTGGGGTCCTTCGTGATGGCAGCGCACGGGGATCTGGAAGGCCTCTAGAGTTTGAGCCTCTTGGCCGCACGAAGTGCAAGTCAACTCCTTAGCGATTTCCAATTCGTGTGCACACCTGCTTCTGTCGCTGTCGCAACTTCCGGGACCCTCTGCCGATGTGGTGGTGTGGTCAATAGCCGTTCGACGTTTCACAGATGAGCTGAAGCACCACGGGCATGTGTTGTAATAACTATTGCTGCGATGAGGGGTCGGATGGAACGAATTACAAAGCGGTGCCCTGATGGTGTCGCCGAAGAGGAATAATATCTTGCCACATACGTGTTCCCTCCCGTCCCCTTCCGTAACTACGTAGTCGCACCATAATGTTTTTTTGCACGTCATCCTCATCAACACGCCTTTCTCGTCCTCGTCCCTCCACCTCACACTGGCGCTCCCCAGCACCTTCGAGTCCATGCTGGTCCACTGTTTCTAGTATTCGATGTGTTACCAGTGATTCATTTCCTCAGAGGCCTTGTTCAGACCTTCGAAGTCGGCTTTTACCTGGTGGGCCCAAGGAGTCGATGTTTCGCACATCCATTTTCCCGAGGAGTCTTAGTTCATGTCTTCTCAGGTCGAGTTTGGAGTTCCCATGTACAGCTGCCAGTGCTCCTTCATGTTCTTTGGGGTAAACGGCCCAGCTTCTGTACCATTTTAGTCCCCTGGTCCTAAGAGCAGTGGCAATCCTATTTATTTCCCATTCCCCGAATACCTGGGCCACCGAGTGACCTCGAATTTGTCCGTCCTCCCTCTCCCAGCTCATCCGTCTCCCCGTAAGTCTTCGCAAGTACCTGCCAATCGTCGCATCAAGTGAGTCGGTCAGCTTCTCTGGTAGTATGAGCCTTGCCAGACCGATCCAACCTGCTCCCATCACAAAACGCTGCGATCACAGACGCTTCATAGGGCCTGGCGTATCCGAGCTCTAGAAAGAACCACCTGCCTCCATGCTATTTTATGGCGCTCTTCCTCCTCGCAATCTGTTCTGCAAGTCCCAGGTCTGCCGGGATGTAGGGGCCACGTGCCTTCATCTCCCTGAGTGGGGCTCCCTTTAGTTCTTTGGATCTCCTGGGACTCCTGGTGGTAGCGAAGCAAACTTGTCCTCTGATGCAGGAGAGATGGTTTGTCTTGTCCTGGTTGAGTCTCCATCCTCATCTTATTGTTTGCTCGGGGGTCTCGGTTGCGTGGTTGAGTTGTTCTGCTAGTTCGTTTGCTTCCTTTTGGCTGAGAGGCTTGCGATCTCGTAATGTCGCCCATGAAAGTGTTGATTGCTAGTTGTACCATGCCCCCTGAGATGAGGTTGGCCAGGTCTGGTATTGGTCCGAGTCTCTCTCGTTTTGGAGCCACCCGTTGACGTATCAGGTGCTAACGTCGTCAAATTTTCTTGGGCAAAGCGTGATTCCCCTCTGTGCTCCCTGTGCCTTGGCTGTATGTGGCCAACCGTCCGCACACTGCACAACGCGAGTGGCTGATCCTCCTCTGTGACGTGCCTCCAAGCTGACGCATTCCTCTCTTCGTACTGACACAGGCGTCGGAACAGCCGCTAATCTCTTGCTGCTACGACTGAACCGTCGAGGTACAAAACACAGCATTTTCTCGACTACTATGCGCAAGTCCCCCCTAGGCCCAGGGGGGCTGGTCGGACTGGGGACCTTTTTTTGTACCCCCCCAGTGCCATGCCATGAGTCGTATGCGTGCATCACTTTCTTCCCTTCAATGCCTTCTTTTCCGTTGTGCTCGTCTGCGTCGAAGGAGAGAGGTCTGTACCCAGGCAGCGGCGTAGTTTGCACACGTCAGCACATCAGTAGTAATTCGTCCAACTTCTTTTGAACGCTGTGTTTCTTTCTCTCCTTCCCAATCCTGTCGGTAACCAGCCTTGACTTGCTGGGGCGTCCCAAGAATTTGTGGCTGGGAGAGCATGAGTCGAGTTCGGTTCCATCTAGTGTTCCCCTTGTTTCCCTAGTTTTTCATCGCTGGACCATCCCATCGCTTGTTGCATCTACTTCCCTAGCCTGTATCTATATAGTGATGAGTGCTTCTCCTGGCCCTCCTCATCCTTCTTTCTCCGCTGCTCTTACCCTCATCTCCTCTATCTGTCGACTGAGTCGTTCTGGGTGCTCCAAGTGCACTCGTGGGGCGAGTATCATCATCTACGCTGGGATCCCCCATCGTGGCCACGCTCTGCGCCTCGCAGACGGTCTGCAATACTTCAGCATCAAGTTTTATCTGATTCGGAGGAGGAGCTCGAGTCGTTTTTCACGGCCCTCTGGGGCCCAGCAAGGGCTCCCATAGGCCGACAGCGAACCCCAGCACCTTGCGTCGCGTTTTTTCTTCGACGCGAGGGTTTCAGGGAGGCCTCCCTCGTGTCCCTCCTCCCCCTCAGGGGGCGGTGGGGGGAGGGGGGGGGGGCGCGGGCTGCCCGCATCTCCGCCCCTTGTCGGCCGGCCCTTGCACCAGCCCGAAACATCTCCCGATCTCTATGATTGGCATCACCCTGCCTCGATGTCGAGATTCCCTTTGTTTCTGAGGACACATCCCTGAGATTGCCATTGCCCTTTAGCTTGTCAGTCTTAGGGATATGGATCAGCTCGAGGCTGGTCAGCCCCTCCCTCTCCGCGCGCCGCCGGCTGGAGGCGCTCCCCCCGGCGCTGGGCATCGAGGAGGGAGAGCAGAGGATTGCTGGCCAGCCCGCTGGGCACTGCGCGCGCGCGTGCGGAGCCCCCAAACGTGTCGGTAGGGTAGGCCGGGCGTTTCGTCTAAGACTTCTGCACCAGATCCTGAATGCTGACATGTGCGAGAGCTTCAGGGACGGCGGGTGGGTTGTTTTCAAAATGTGGCTCTCTCCCCACTGCCGTGTACGTTCGTGTACTAATGTTTCAGCAGTTGCAATGAAGGGACACATATAGTTTTTACAATGTGGCTCTCGCCTCAGCGCCGCGCACATGCGCTTTACAAGATTGCGAATGTTTCAATGATGGAGCGGGATCGCTCAGAACGTTTGGCCCCCGCCTACGCGACGCGCGCATGCGTTTCCAAACTGTGCTACGTTTTCCAGGATGGGTTACAGATCGTTACCAAAGTGGGCTTTCGCTTCAGCGCCGCGCACATTCGTTGTATCTGTTGTCAACAGTTTCAATGATGGACTGCGGTGCTTTTCTAAACTGTGGCTCTCGCGTCAGCAAGCAACCGTTTCAGGGATGGACGGAGGGGGGGGCTTTCCGATCGTGGCTCTCGTGTAAACGCCGCGCACAGTCTTACATGTTGATGGAAGGAGTTTCAATCATGGAGGGGGCGTTTTTTTCAACATGTTGTTCTCGACTCTTCGCCGCGCACATTCGTCATACAAATTTGCAGCAGCTTCACGGATGGAGCTCAGCTCTTTTTCTACATGTGGCTCTCGCCGTAGCGCGCGCGCATTCATTTCAAAACCATGCAGCAGACACAACCACGGAGGGCGTTTTTTTTTGTTGTTGTTGTTGTTGTTGCTGTTGTTGCTGTTGTTGCTGTTGTTGTTGTTGTTGCTGTTGTTGTTGTTGTTGTTGTTGTTGTTGTTGTTGTTGTTGTTGTTGTTGTTGTTCTTGTTGTTGTTGTTGTTGTTGTTGTTGTTGTTGTTGTTGTTGTTGTGTTGTGTGCTGCATTTGTAAAGAGTGGTGTTGCGACTTTCTCTGGATTCCCCAAGCAGTGCTCGCACTCAGGGCCTCTGATCTGTTCCAAGATCGGGGGAGCGTAAGACCCGGGTTTGCCAGGACTCGGGTTCGCCATCGTTTTTTGACGACCGCGCCTCGGATTTTGACGAGGAGGAGTTTCGTGGGATGTCTGCAGCGGGAGGCCTCGTCAAAATGCAGGCTCGGCCTCGTCATTTTTTTGACGACCTCGTCGGGGATGTCCGAGTCCCCCGTACCCGGGTCTTACGTCCCCCCGACAAGACACGGGGCCCGTGCTCCAGTCTGGCGGCTCCGTGCCCGCCGTCGCCCGCCCCGTCGGCGCCCCGTCGCAGCCCGTCATCGGGGCCCACGGGCCGCTCTGGCGGCTGCGTGCCCGCCGCCGGCGCCCCGTCGCCGCCTCGTCGCCGCCCGTCGTCTGGGCCCGCGTGCCGGTCTGGCGGCTATGTGTTCGCCGTCGCCGCCTCGTCGCCGCCCGTCGTGATGTGTCGTGCTTGGCATCGTTTTGTCATTTCCTTGCCTTGCACAGCACTGGTATGCTTCGCTTTGCTTTGCTTTGCACTGCTTCGCGTATCCTGCTTTTCCTTGCGTTGCTTTGCTTTGCATTGCGTTGCTTTGCCTTGCTTTGGTTTGCGTTGCGTTGCTTCGCATCGCTCTGCCCTGCTTTGTATTGCTTTTCGTTGCTACGCCGTGCTTAGACCCCTCGACGTCGCCGCCCCGTCGCTGCCTCGTCGCCGCTCGTCGTTTGGGCCTGCGTACCGGTCTGGCGGCTACGTGCTCGCCGTCGCCGCCCCGCCGCCTCCTCGGAGCCGTCCGTCGTCCGCGGCTACGTCTTCGCCGTTGCCGCCCCGTCGCCGCAGCTTCGCGTAGATTGCACTGCGTGAATTCCCCTTTCAAACACAGAGATAGGTTCTACCACCCTCCCCTCCTGACTTATCCATTAACCGGGAACCGATGCAAAACACTTATGATTCTGACCCAATGTCCATGTTACCTGTGAATTCATACTGTCCCAGCCAGGCTGGTACCGCCCCCACGCCATCTTTTGCAGCGAATACTATGCACGCGCGCTTGTTTATCAAAACTCACAAGTTACCGATAATCCCTTGCAGGAAGTTGGACGAAGTGCGCACGCGCGCATCGTCGCGCGCGCATGCCGAAATCCTTCAACAACCTTTGCTTTCGGAAGGATTTCGAAATCGAGTATCAAAACATATAAAACACACGCACGGTTTCGCAACACGGACTTTCAACAAAAGCGTGCGCGCGTTCCTGTGAATTCTTTGGAAAAACATATTTTCATAATTTTCATAACATGCTACCAAACGGGCTTCGCGCCCGCATGTCGGAATCGTTCGAACGCCCTTGCGCGCGTGCTGGGTGGGCGCGATCCGTTTCAAATCATACCATGCGAGCCACTCTCGCGCGTCTGCCGCGCGCGGATTTCGAATTCTTTCCAAAACCTTAATCACCGACGCGAAGACGCCGTCATCGTCGTCGGCGTGATCAGCATCGGCGCCGTCACTGGCTGCCCCGTCGTCGCTGTCAGCATCGTCGCCAGCATCGGTGCTCTCATCATCGTATCTACCGTCTACCGTTGTCGACGTTGCCATGATACCGCGCCCGCCCAAGTCGCCGACTCGCACTGAAGTGCCTGATGGAATGCGCCGAGCGGTCAGCGCCAGCGCGCCCGCGTCGGTCGCTCCAAAGTAGCTGACCGCTGCGCGCGCGAGCATGCGCGGGCTAGCGCGGCCGCAGAGGTGCACCAGCCAACGCCCGCGCCTCTCTCCCTCCGCCTTTTTGTTAGCCGTTCCCTTCCTCAGGGCGAGCCGCGGGCGGCCGTCGCGCGCGCTCGGGGGCCCGCGCGCCGAGGGGGGCGCGGGGGCCGGGTCTGCCCTGCGAGCGCCCAGGCCGCGGCAGCGGGGCTCAGCCGGCCATGGCTCGGGCCGCGTCGGCTGCGGTTTCGTGCGACGCCATGGCGGGCTACGACGGCCGCATCCACGAGGTCAACGACGTCGGGGTCGTCGTCCGGGCGACGGAGGCGGACCCTCTCCTTCAGCGCGCGCGCGCGCGCTCTTGCAGGAGCTCCAGGGCGAGGGGGCCGACGTCCGCGGCGAGATCGTCGAGGTCGACGACCCCGGCCGCGGGCTGGCGCCCGTCGCGGCCCTGGCGCGCGTCGCCGCTGGAGCCCCGGAGGGCCAATCCGCCATGGACCTCGTGGACGGCGGCGCTCGGGGGCGACGAGAAGGCGAGGCGCCGGGCAGCTAAGTTGGCCCTGGCGACAGCCTCGTTCGGAGGGGTGCCGGCGGCCCTTCGCAGCCAGCCGCTCCGCGAGCGCGACGGCTCGCGAGCCTTCCTCGCGGACTATTGCCCCGAAATGGTCAATGGCGCGGAGGAGTTCGCGCCGCGGGCCAGAGCCAGCCTGGGGGGAGGGGCGGTCGACGACGAGCTGGCTACTCGGCTAGCGCGCGCGGCCGAGACGGCCGCTGGCCAGGCGAAGCGGGGGGCGGTGCCGCGGAGCAGGGGCGCGCCCTGGCCCCCGAAAGCAAAGGGCCCCGCCCCGGGCCGCGGCCAGGAGCGCGCCCGAGGACGCCGCGGCGCGGAGGCCACCGCTGGCGCTCGCGCGGCGCAGTGCCGAGGCGCGGCGCGCAGGCGAGGCGCCGGGCGCTACCCGTTCACGCTGGCCAGGGCCGCCGCGGCGGCGGGGCCGGCGTGGCCAGCTGCGGCGAGCGCGGCAGCAGCGACGCCGGAAAGGCCAGCCGCGAGCGTAGCGGAGGGCTTGAGCGCCGCCGCTCAAGGAGTCCGCGCGGCGCGTCGCCGAGAGAGGGTCGCGCGCCCGGGCGCGGCCGGGAGGTCGCCCGGGGGGCCCGCGGAGCCGAGGGCGCGGCAGCGCCGGAGCTCTTGCGGGCGCGCGCGCGCGAGCCCCTGCAGCGGCGGCGGGCGCGGGCGCCGCGCGCCGCGCCGAGGCCGGGCCGCGCTGGGCCCGCCGAGCGGGGCGATGCGCCGGCGCAGCGCGTGATGCGCGAGAGGTCGCCTTCGTCTGCGCGCGCGCGCGCGAGCCGCTGCCGGGGCGGCAGGCGCGGGCGCCGCGGCGAGACGCGCTGCGCCGCGCCGGGCGCGCCGAGCGGCGCGAGGAGCCGGCGAAGCGCGAAAAGCGCGAGGAGTCGACGTGGCGCGGCGCTGCGTCGAGCGCCGCCCCTGCGCGGGGCCGAGGGGTGGCCTTTTCGGCCAGCCGAGGCAGCCGGGGCGGCGAGGTCGACGCGGCCAGCCGAGGCAAGCGCGGCAGTTGCGGCGCCAGCGGAGCCAGCCGTGAGCGGCGAGGAGTCCGCGGGCGCGACCTCGCAATCGAGCCCGCGCGGGGCGGCCGGCCCAGCCGAGGAGGCGGGGCTGGCCCCCCCCGCTGGTGGGGGGGGGGCCGTCGCGCGCCATTCGGAGCCCCCGCTCACCGTCGACGCCAAGGCGATCCGCCAGCTGGCGGAGGCGTTCGGCACTTGTTGAGGCGGTGGTTTGTGGTAGTTGAGCTGTGTAAGATTCCGTCGCCCCTCCCCCGCCTTCCCGCCCACCCTTTGGTAGTGGTTTGCTCGCTTCCTTTGCTTGCATGCCTGCGCGTTGCGTTGTGGGCGGGGGCTCCGTTTCTGATGGCAAAAGCATCTCGAGGTAAGCAATTTTCGAAAACGCATGCGCAAACATAGTGAAACGAAGGTTGCCGTGCGCAATTCCGAAGCGCATCGTCGGTTGCCAGTTCCGCTGGCATGTAAGCGCGCGTAACTGGCAATCTTGGCACATCCATCGCGCGATTCGTCGCCCCATAGGGATGTCCACCGAGTGCCTCACTAGGTGCAGCTGGTGTCTGAAACGTTGCGGCAGTGTCAATATGTGGTCAATGCTTGCCGACGTCTTGATCGCATCGTTCCGTTGCTGTTTTTGCTGAGATGTCTAATGGAGCTCGTGAGTGCAGACCCTCTGTGTTCTGGAGGCGGGGGCTCCGACGATGGCGCGTTTGTGGTAGCAGGGCGTTGCGATGCCCCCCCCCGCGGGCAGGGCGCGCCCGCGCTCGACGCAGGCGCCCTGTCTGCTCCAGCGGTGAGTTCGATGCCTTCTTCGTTGGGCACTGGCCTGGAGGGGGGAAAGGTTATGGCGATGCCAGCAGCGGCAGCGAGGGCGAATTGGAAGTACAAAGTTGGAACGCGTCTGCGTTCGGGTCGGCCACGTGGAAGCTAGCGCCCTTCAGCGAGGAGGCCGCGGGCGAGGCTCGGTCTCTACTCTGCCCGATGGGCGGCCTGAGCGGCAGCAGTTTACATGGGCTCATCGCCTACGACGTCAGCCGCGTGGAGCTTTTTGAAAGAAAGAGAACGCGGGTCGCACGCCGATTGCCTAGCACGCCAGTGGAGATGCATCGGTTTTGTCACGATACGATGGCGAATGTCAAGCTCTTTGAGTTTGGCCAGGTGTTTTCCGATGTGATTCGCGGCAAGGGGGCGCCTGCGTGGCTCATCGCGCCCTTGGCCATTGCTCGCAGGCGCTTGTTTGAGGGCGAAGTAAGTATCAAGATGGTGGCAGTGCCGAGAGATGTGAGGGGGGTGCGGTATGATGAGGTAGTGGTGGTTTATCTCCGCGCAGCGTCGTCAGACGATGGGCCAGAGCCTTGGCATCGAGAAGAGAGTCATCGCGAGCAGCCTGACTGTTTGCCAATTGTGCCCGCCGCCGCCGGCTTCGACGCTGCCCGCGTGCCGGCGCGGCGCGGGCTGGCGGAGAACCCCCGCTTGGGCGGCGTCATGCTTCAGAAGCGCCGCAAGGTTGCCCCTGCGCTTTTGAAGATCAAAGCGGTCGGTTTCTCCAGCAACGTCAGATCCCAGCGCGACTTTTTCCTGGCTCTGCAGGGCGGCATCGAATATTATTTCGATTCTGTCGGCGCCGAGGGCGAGACGCCCGTGCTGGACAAGACCGACCACCCGTGTCGCGAAGTTCTTCGCGAAGGGGTCCTGCGTTTGGACGTCGTTGCCATGCTCGTCCACAGGCGTCAGCTCCGTCAGAACTTCCACTGCGTCGAGAGCATTCATATTTCTTCTGATGCCAGCGATTGCCTCGGCGCCGAGGTGCAGGGCATGGTTGCAGACATCGCTTGCGACGACGGGGCGTTCGAGCGCCTCGCCCTTCCAGGATGCACGTTGGCCCATGGTTTCTTGGGCAGGCTGGACAAGGTAATTGTGTTTCCGTGGGTTGTCTTCTTTGTATGCGGACCAGAAGAAGCACGTGTTCGGTCTTTCTGGGGGAAGGTTAGGTCAACGACGACTGATGTGGGATCCGAGCCCCACTTAGTCGATTGCGTTGACCTGTTGCACGCCTGGTTCGGTCGACTGCGCGGGGTTCCGCTGAAGAGAGCGGGCTTTCTCATTGACAGGGCCACCAGGCTGCTACCTTGCGCTATTTGCGTAGCAGGCTGGAACCAAATCTGCAGCAACATGGTCAAGCGAGTTGTGTTTGATTTTCCGAAATGGCCAGAGCGGAACACTAAGTTGAGGGACTTGTGCAGGTGCTTCAGGAACAAGTCCTACCGCCAGCACGTCGTTGGCCTAGCAGCAGGATCACCATCCGCTCCTGTCATCAGTCGTCTTCCTTCTTCGAGCTCAGGTCAGGCATGTTTCGGGGCGCCCGTCGAGAGAGGAGGGCGTGGTGAGGGTAGGGAGGGAGGCACAGGGCTTGATCGACTCCAATTATAGGATCAACTTTGATTGTCCCCATCCGCCCCCCTCCTCCATCGTGTGGCCCGTTCCCCGCCGCTCTCCTTCTCCCCGCTCTTCCTCGTCCTCCTCGCCCCCGTCCAGTGTGAACTGACGGACCGCCTGCGCGTCTCAACGCGCTTCGGTGCCAGCCTGTGGCGCTTCTTTCCCTTAGAGCAGAAATTTCCTTTAGATCCAAAGGGGGCCGGCGCTCTCGCCCCCCCTGTGGTCTAAAGGAATTCTGCGGCCTCTGGCAAACGCCAGCTGAGCCCTGATCCTTTTCGAGAAGGGGGGGTGCCTTTTCACGGCGCCGCCGTTGCCGTCGGGTTGAGGAGCCTCAGAGTGGCCGGATTTCAGCCGGTTGTTGCGGGACGGGGCCAAGCTTTGCAACCTAAGACCTGCGGGGGGGAAGTGGGGCGTGAGAAGCCGCCTTCCCCACTCCGTCGGCAGGAAGGCTCAGCGCGGCGCGCCCTGGCCGCGGGCAGCAGCGCTTAGCCGCAGCGGCCGGGGGTCAGCCGCCGGCGTATTCCGCGCCGTCGCGTGGGCCCGCGACCGCTGCAGGAACGCGAAAACATACTGCACATACGTATTTCATCTGCATGTACGTATGTATGCATATGTATATATGTATGTATGTATATATGTGTATGCTTGTATATCTGTATATTCGATATCCACATTTACATTTACATATGCATATACATATACATATACCTATACATTTGCATATACATTTCCGCTTACATTTACATATACACATACACATACGTGTACATCTACATATACATATACATATACATACACATATACACATACTACATATTCACATACACATACATATACATTTACATTTAGTCATGTATATTTACATTTACATCTACAGTAACATATACACATACACGTACATATACGTATACATATACATCTATATACACATACGCATACATTAAGTTTCACATATACATACACAAATTATATACACATACATTTACACATATACATATGCATACACGTATACATATGTGTATATATACACATATATAAATACACATGTATATTTACATATGCATACACATATATAATATACATTTAAATGCATACAAATACATATACACATACAATTACATATACATATACATATACATATTCATATACATATACATGCACATGTACACATACACTTACACATACATACACATGCACACATACATATACATATACATATACATATACATATACACATACACATATATACATACATATACATATACATATAATATACATATACATATACATATACATATACATATACGTATACGTATACGTATACGTATACGTTAATATAAACATTTACAAATACATATACATCTACATCTACATCTACATCTACATATACATATACATATACATATACATATACATATATATACATATACATGTACATATACATATACATATACATACACATATACATATACATATACATATACCTATACCTATACATATACATATACATATACATATACATATACATATACATATACATATACATATACATATGCACATACATATATATACATATACATATACACTTACACATACACACATATGCATATACATATACATATACATTTATACATACATCTATACACGTACACACACATATGCAAATACACCACTATGTGCATACATGTAGCTATCATCATCACCATAATTTTATGTATTCACATGATATATATACATATACATATATACACCTTTTTTTCTACACATTTGTACACATGAATAACTGTAGACATATCGGAGATCCCAGCCCGGGGCCCCGAGGCCGGGACCCACCCGACGAACAGGTCTCCTGGAGGCCCCATCGCGGGCTCCGCTTGCCCTTTCGCTAGGCCTCGTTGTTTTCTTTCTCGTCGGTCCCCGTCCCCCTCCCTCCCCCTCCCCCTCCCCCTCTCCTCCCCATCGTCCCTCCCCCCCCGCCCTTGTGCATTCTTCCTTCCTCCGCTCCCCTGCCCAAGCAGGTCTCCTGGAACCCAGACCGAGGCTCCGCTTGCCCTTGGTTGGGCCTCGCTTTCTTCTTTCTCGTCGGTCCCCCTCCCCCTCCCCCCCTCTGGCCTCCTTTGGGCATTCTGCTCCCCCCCGTTCCCCTTCCCGAGCAGGTCTCCTGGACACCCCCCCGAGGCTCCGCTTGCTCTTGGCTGGGCCTCGCTTTCTTCTTTCTCGTCGGTCCCCCTCCCCCTCCCCCCCTCTGGCCTCCTTTGTACATTCTGCCCCTCGTCCCCGTTCCCCTCCCCGAGCAGGTCTCCTGGACCCCCCCCCGAGGCTCCGCTTGCCCATGGTTGGGCCTCGCTCTCTTCTTTCTCGTTTGTTCCCCTCCCCCTCCCCTTCTCTGTCTGGGGCGGCGAAGAAGGGGGTGATGACTAGGGGTGGGGAATCATGGCGGGGGCCATGATATCTTCCCAGGTTTCATGGCGTTTTTCGTCTTATTTCGCCGCTCCCCCTCCCGCACTCTTGGACGCCCCCCTCTTGGCCGCTCCGACTCTGGACCCCATGGCAACCTCCGCATTTTCTGCCGCCTCCCGCCGGGCTACCGCTCGTTCAGAATCGTGCTCCCGCTGCAGCGCTGGCCTCATTTCCGCGCTTCCGCTCGTTCCGAATCGTGCTCCCGCTGCAGTGCTGGCGTCATTATTTCCAGTGCCATGCCGCGGCATGGTTTTCGGTCCTTCCAAATACGTCCGTAAATCTAGAAAGTGCCCCCCCGAAGAAACCATCGACTACACATTCGGTGTCAATTCTTTGATTTGTTGGGCCGCAGAAGCCCCCCCCTCATTTTGGGGCGTCGCCACGCCATGCTACGTCATGCTATGCGTTAGTCTTCAACACCTTGCTATGCCATGCAATGCTATGCCATGCTGCGACGTCCGATTGTGCGAATAGGGAAGAGATCTGCGCCATGGTAAGGGATGGGAGGGAGGGGTAGGACGTCAGATATGACGCGAGCGCACCTGGCTTGCCCCTCCCCCTCGTCCCCCTCCCCTCTCCCCCTTTGCCCCCCCCCCCTTCTCCCTCCTCCTCCCCCCTTTGCCCCCCCTCTGTCCCCCTCCCCTCTCCCCCCCTGTCCACCCTCCTCCCCCCTCCCCTCTTCCCCTCCCCTTCCCCCCTATCCCCTCCCCTCCCCTCTCCCCCTCTGTCCCCCCTTTTGGTCCCAGCTCGGGCGCCCCCTCTGCGCAGCCCCTCCCTCGGCCAGCGCGAGGAGGCCGCAGGGGCTGGGCGGGGGCGCGCCCGCCCAGGCGCAGGCGCCCAGGCCCGCTCGCGCCGTGGCCCCCTCAGGAGGAGGAGGAGGAGGAGGGGGAGGAGGAGGGGGAGGAGGAGGAGGAGGAGGAGGAGGAGGAGGAGGAGGAGGAGGAGGAGGAGGAGGGGAGGAGGAGGAGGAGGAGGAGGAGGAGAGGAGGAGGAGGAGGAGGAGGAGGAGGAGGAGGAGGGGAGGGGAGAGAGGAGGAGGAGGAGGAGGTGGAGGGGAGGAGGAGGAGAGGAGGAGGAGGGGGGGGGGGGAGGCCGGGGGAGGAGGCGGGGGAGTGCCAATCTAGCATCTGGCATGTGGCCTGCCTGCGGGTACAGCGGACACGCCAAATAAGAACCCGGCCTGCCAGCAGGTGCCCCACGGAGGTGCCCTGTTTCCCGACGACCCCAGGCGTCCATGAGAGCTCATGGCTTCCCCACGAAGTCCAAAGTCGACTGAACTGTGTGCCCCTACATTTCTCATACCAAGATTTCTTGACGTGTGCACCCACTGCGGAACGCTCCCCCTATGTTGCTCAATACTGCGGGGTCGCACTAGAAAAAAGGAGGGGCCCTCCGAGGATGAGCTTCGAGGCCAGCGAGAGCGTTCTGGCTGCGCTCACGGTCACCAGAAACTCACAAAGGTGCCCCCGCCGACCACCTAGGACAGCCCGAGAGGGTTCCTGGAGAGTCCTCGAAAGGTCCCCCAGAGGCCACCGAACAAACATACAAAGAACACAAGACGGGCTCGGAAGCCGAAACCGTATTCTTTTAGTTGTGTGTTTGCTTCTGAGGCCCAGCGCGCGCGGGGTCCGCTCGCGGTGTTACTTTCCTTTCTCCGCCTCGTCGCTGCGCGCCAGGCCGCGATCGCCATAGTGCGTGTGTGTGTGTCCTATCGCCAGCGCAGTGACTCTGCAGTGTGTGTGTGTGTGTGTGTGTGTGGATTTTCCGGAGGAGAGAGCGCGGATGGGGGGATCTTGGGAAGGGGCATGCCAGGTTCGTCCCTCAGCTCGGGGTCCCCAGCCAGGCCCCATCCTCTGCTCGCCGCCCCGTTCAGGGGCTGGGGCCGGAGGCCCCAGCGGCGGCGGCCAGTGTACCGCGTCGGAGCGCGGGCGCCAACGCCGCCGCAGCGTGGGGGGGGGCGACGCGCGGTGGTTGAGTTCTCAGCCGCGTTTTCGTTATCATCGGCTGTGCTCTCATGCTTAAAGTACAGTTAAATTGCTAGCAACATCCAGCAGAATCCTCCTCCTTCTCCTCCTCCTCCCCCTCGTCCTCCTCCTCCTCCTCCTCCCTCCTCCTCCTCCTCCTCCTCCTCATCTTCCTCCTCCTCCTCCTCCTCTCTCCTCCCCCTCCCCCTCCTCCTCCTCCTCCTCCTCCTCCTCCTCTTGATTTGTTCTTCCTCTTCGTCCTAGTTCGTGTGTCTTTGCTCGGGCCAGTTTGTGCAGATTTTTTGGCGGCTCTGTACAGCCGGGTCGATGCATGCGTCAGGGCGTGCGCTCGTGTAGCGAGCGTAGTACGCATCTTAATTCGTCTCCTGCACTGCTGCGCGCGGCACGCTCGTTCATTTTTCAGTCCATGGTTCAGTGCATGAGCTTGCCTTTCGCAGGTCGGCTCGTGTGGTGTGCAAGGCTTGCCTGTCGACCCGTTGATTCGCACAGTGGTCGAGGCCGAATCGGATGAACATGTTTGTGGTCGCGCTCCCTTTTCATCTCCCGAAAGTAGTTGATGAGTCTTGTGTTTACACAGGTCCTCCTCCTCCTCCTCTTCCTCCTCTTCTTTTTATTTTTCTTATTCTTCTTCTTCTTCTTCCCCCTCCTCCTCCCCTGACCTCTTTTGTGTTTTTCGGCCCCAGGGGTCCAGGTCGCTTCCCTTGGGGCCGTTTCTCGCCCCGCGCCTGTGTCTGATGTTCCGACCGCGGGCCCCGGTCGCCGAAGCCGAGGTGTGGGAGGAGGAGGAGGAGGAGGAGGAGGAGGAGGAGGAGGAGGAGGAGGAGGAGGAGGAGGAGGAAGAAGAAGAAGAAACAGAAGAGGAGGAGGAGGAGGAGAAGGAGGAAGAAGAAGAAGAGGAGGAGGAGGAGGAGGAATAAGAAGAAGAAGAAGAAGAAGAAGAAGAAGAAGAATAATAAGAATAATAATAAGAAGAATAAGAAGAAAAATAAGAGGAGGAGGAGGAGGAGGAAGAAGAAAAGGAGGAGGAGAGAAACGACCCTCCATCCTTCATTCAAGAGGTGACGCTGGCGGCGGCGACGGCGGCGACGGCGCACCTCCCCACGCGGGCGGCGCGCGCGCGCGGTCTCGCAGGGAGCCGGCCGGCGGGGCGCCGGGCGAGCAGGCGGCAGGGCAGCTGGAGGCGGCGGCCGCAGGGGTTCCGTGCCGTCGCTCGCGGGGTGGGGGAGGAGGGAGGAGCCTCCCCCTGCTCCCCCTTCTCCCCCTCCACCTCCTACTCCTCCTCCACCTCCTCCCGCCTCTGCCTCCGTCGCCTCCTCCTGCTCCTCCTCCTCCTCTGCCTACCTCGTCCTCCCTCTTCCTCCATGCTTCTCCCTCCTGTCTCCTGTCTCCTCCCTCCTCGCCCCTTCTGCCTCCTCAGCCGTTCTGGTTCAGGTGGGTACCTAAGCTCCCTCTCGCACTGTTTGAATTCCCTCCCTCGCGTTTCCTCCGTCGTCCCTCCTGTCGCTCGTCCCTCCCCCTCCCTCCCTCGGCCTCGCCTCTCGTCCTCGCTTGTCGTGCGTCCCTCTCTCCTTTCGTGCGTCCTTCCCCTGCCATACAGCATCACGCGTTCATGCCACCGCCAACCGGTGCTGAGCCCGCGGCCACGCTCGTTTCACACAATGGCGCCATGGCGCCCGCCTGCAGCGCCCCCGCCGGCGTGCACCTTGCAGGTCCGAGTCCGAGTCCGAGTCCGAGTCCGAGTCCGAGTGGGTACCTAAGCTTGCTGAGGCGTCCTTCAGACTGGCTCGTGCGTGCGGGCCAATCGAGCTGCCAGCCAGCCTCTCTCGCGCTCATGGGCTATGGGCGCCAGTCGAGTCAAGGTCAGTGGATGTGCTCGGGCAAGTGAGGCGGTTGCCCGAACAACCTGTAGCGTTCAGTCTGCCGTGCATGGGGGGCCAAGGCTTCGCCCAAAGTGCTCAGCCTCCAGGTGACCTCCCGCGACGCTCCGTGGAAGCGGTCCGAGGCTAACTGAGGCTCAAAGCAGGCGTGGGGGAAGTGTTCGTCGTCGGCTGGCTGCGGTGGCGGGTAGTCGGAGGGAGAGGCCGTCGACCCCTTGTAGGAAGACGGCAACGTGCAGGCGGGGGGGGGGGGGCGAGAGGGGGGCACGGCCCTCGCCACCCTCGAGAAATCTGCCGAAGTCTCTGAGCGCAATGTGTACACATTGGGCCATGTCTAACTATTCGAAAGTTCTTTGATCTTTTTGGGGCCAAGCTCTTTTCATTTCTAATTGTTCTATCCTGGGCCTCTTCTTGGCCACTAGGGACCAGGAAAATTAGAAACGAACGCAACTAGAAATGAACACGATTTGAAATGAACTACGTGTCAGTTCTTGAGGAGCGACTCGCCGTTGCCAAGCCAGTGCCAGCAGCGGAGGCGAAGGTCGATCTGTCGACGAGGTCCCAAGCACAGGTTCTGCAGCGACGGGCAGGCGAAGCACGGCAGGTCGACAAGTGCAAAGCCAGAGTTGCTGAGAAGGCGGTGCTCTTCACCAAAACCCAGGAGGCCTACGGCGTAGAGCTGCGCCAGCTACGGGAGCATGAGAGGCGACTTGCCGAGCTTGACAAGCTGGCGAGGTCGGAAAACGTGGGGGCAGCGCTGCAGCCGGGCGAAGACGACGGTGCGATCATCGGGACGGCTGCCATCGACGCCGTCAGCAAGATGCCCCCAATCGTCGCCAAGCAGCCTGGCAGGGAGCAGCTCAAGACGGTTACGGATACCCTCCTCGAGGGGGGTCAAGCAGATGCGTGGCGCCAAGGCAGATGCCGAGCTGGAGGCGACCGAAGCAAAGGCTGACGGTGCTGCTGCAACTCGTGCTGTTCCAGGGCCTCAGCAAGGTCGGCCCGGACAGGGAGATCCCGTGGCAGTCGACGCCCAGGTGCCGGACTTCGAGCTCGACGACGAGCTGCTCAAAGAGGTCACCGCTGCCCTGGATGGGGATGGGGGGAGGCAAGCCGACTCTCGACCTCCAAGTCGATGAAGACAGGGCCAAGTCCGAGCGCATGGCCGAGATCTTCACCAAATCAAAGCCGCATCGAGTTTGACGACCTGTTGCTCGATTTGGTCGAATTGTTTCCCCGTCCGGGCCCTTGTCGGCATTGGCGTACAAGACAGGCTTCTCAGCGCATCGCTGAGGGGCCATGGGCAGGATCAACAAGAGTAGTCGTGCTGTAGCGCATCTTCGGCAGCAAGAAAGCCTGCAGTGGGATTGGTATTTCCGGCAGTGCGGCCGCTTCAAGTGGCATGGCCATTTCCGACGGATGTGGCAACGAGAGTGGGCTCAGGAAGATCGAGTGCCACAGGGGCTCCGATGACCCCGGGGAAGCTGCGGACCTGGGTGGGCCCTGTGAAGGCCGAGACTGCCTTGCGGACGGAAACCACGGCGGGCTCTGCCTATCGCGCGGGAGCCCGCAGGGTGGAATCGCTGGAGGGGAGCCTGAGCTCGCGTTCGGCTGAGGCAGCTGGTGCGATGGGAATTTCATGTCCAAAATGGCTGCCGAGTTGTCCAACTGAATGTGTACTGTCAGCGGCTCAAGTGGGATGGTTTCTTCCAGCGGAGTGGCAGCGGCGCCGAGTGGGATGGGCACTGCCGACGGCTCTGCTGCTGGCCCCAATGGGGCAGCAGGTTGGAGGTGCGTGCGCTGGCAGCCCTCTGCCAGGAGGCGGCATCGCATGGTCGGGCTACCCCGAGCGTGCTCGTGGCGTTGCTGACAGCCGTGAGGGTGACGCCGCAGGTGGTCGTGCTACGACCTCCAGCCCGTCCGAGAGCTTGGTTGAGGAGTTGGGGATCTCCACGGGCAACGCGAACAGCTGGGCGTGAGGGCAGCGCTGGATCGAGTGGCTCGGCAGCGCGAAGATCCTCCCCGACATTATCTGCATTCAGGAACACCGCCTGAAGCTGCCGAGCCAGGCCATCTCTGCCATGGACTGCGCGGTGAACATCGGCCACGCGCTGCGCGCAGGGCTGGCTGCAGTCACTGGGGCAGGACCGTTCGACAGCGCGGGGGGGCGCGCGTTTCTTCGGGACCTCCAGCGCGTGGCTCAGCCCAGCCACCAGGCCCGGGGGAGGCAGGGGATTGCCTGCGCATCGTGGGCAGGCCGTCTGTGTCAATATTGGTATTGGCTTCCTGCCGCACGTACTATCGGTGCGCGTGCAGGACAGCGTCGGGGTCGCGGGTGCGTGCGTTGAGTACCTTGTGACGTTGATGTCGTGGGTCGGGGGCCTCGGTGGCCGTGGGTCATCGTGGCGTACTGGAGCATCGTGTCCTCGGGCCTCATCGCCTGGGCCAGGCCGGCCAACGGTGGCTGGCGGTCAGGCCCTGGGCCCCGACATGTGGCAACCATCGAGTCTCAGGCACTGTCTAGCAGGATGGATCGGGTGGTGGTCCTTGGGGCCGGGGGGGCCATCGCTCCCCGCGCCGCCGTCTGCGCGTGCCTCGAAGGTCTGTGCAGCAGGGCCGCGATCACCAAGCCGAGTCTACCCAGGTTGGTTCCCGCTCCAGTTCAGGCCGCCCGCGGGGCCGGCCCCTGAGGCCCTGGATGAGCAAGACTGGGCGTGGGTGGTCGGCGAGCCGCTGAATGGCGTCGAGCAGCAGCCAAAGTGCCGGTCCACTATGGCAGAGGCCAACCTCGCAAGGCCGCGCGGCATCAGACAGGACCCCGCGCGCGGGATCATTGGCGGGGCTGACGGGCCGGAGGTCGAGAAGGTGCCGCTGAAGCCAGAGTGGTCCTCGAACATCAAGGCCACCGCAGGCCCGGCCTACCGCGCGCGGGCTGGCCTCGCGGCAGCGGGCCTTGGGGCGTCTCAGCTGCGCGGCCGCGCGGGGGATTGCAAGTTGGGCGTGTGCTGCGAGCCCGAGGTGCAAATCGGGATCGTGAGGGGCGTCCGCGTTCCCCGTGGCCAGTGGCCGCATGGCGGCCTGCGCGCGGAGTCGGGCGTTGCCTCCACCGCGCGCGCCTTCGAGGGGTTGCCCATCCATGCGTGCAGCGACCCCTTCGTCTGCGTGTCAGAGTGGGTCGGGGAAGTGCCGCGTGCTGACCGTGAGAAGAGGGGGTGCTGAGTGGCGCGGGTAGGCCCGGAAGGCGGCCGCGCGGGCGGGGGGGCGTGCAGTCTTCAAGTTCACCAAGGGCGGCGAGGGCAGCCCCGCGGTGTTGGAGAGCCACGACGAGTCCGAGGAGCCGTTGCCTATTGCAGGTGGCGGGGCCATGCGAGTTCTGATGAATGAGTGGGAGGCTCTGTGGATCTGTCCAGGCAGGAGTTCGGGTGCTGGCAGCAAGTCCTGCCTATCGCATTGGAGGGGCTCGACCAGGTCCTGGCCTCCTTCGATGCGGGCGCGGGTCGAGGGCGGGGCCCCCCCCCGCCCGTGGCGGCCGCGCTGGCTGCCGATGCGCCGCCGCCAGGCCTTCCTAGACGTGGCCCGCAGCTGGGGGGCGGGCCCCGCCTGATGCGCTGCGTGGTCGATGGTCGCGTTCGTGCCGGAGCCCCCGCCAGCGGTGGTCCGAGCCGCCATCCTGGCCAGCATCCGGACATGAATTTGGTCGAAGCCGAGGCAGCCCATCGAGCCCATCGCTGGGGCGCGGCTGGCAGCGCCCGCGAAAAAGCGGGCAGGGCGCGCGGCGTCGCGACCGCGCGCGAGATATAGTCAGGCCCACTGGTCGGCGCGCTAGCCCTGGACCCCCCCAAGCGCCGCGAGCTTTCATCGGTCGCGGCGAGCTGATGGAGCAAGCCATCGAAACGGAGTTCCCGATGATCTTTTTCAGGGCGCTGCGCTCAAGCTACATGCCGCAGCGGAGGGCTTTGTGGGGGCGGAGCATCGGGCCAGTGATGGAGCCCAACAGTGCGACGGCGGTGGGGGGATTCGTTCGCGGTGGACTTGGCCATGCTGCTCGCGTTCGCCCTCCGCGGGCGGGTGGTCAGCGCGTTCCCCGTCGCGCGGGCCCGGAGCTTGGCGGGCGACTGCTACCTCCAGGCGGTCGGCTCCAATCGCTTGGTCGCCCAGCGGCTGGCGGGCGCGATCCCAGGTTTAGGCCGACAAATTGCAGGCGAAACGCTTCAAGATCATCTGGGGCAAGACGGGCGGGATTGCCGCGCGCGCCGCGCATGTTGCTTGCCCGTGCGAGGGCTGGAGGGGCTTCGGGCTGAAGCGGCGCGCGGGGCTGAGGTGGTCGGGGCGCGACGGCAACGACGGCGGCCGCCGCGGAGTGCCCGGGCAAAGCAAGACTGGCCAAAGCCAGTCGGTCCGCCTCGAGGATCGAGCAGCTGCGGTCGGCGGGCGCCAAGACCTGCCACCTGCGCCGCGGTTCGCCGCGCGCCGCGGCGGCGTGGGGCCCGGCCATCGCGGGCGCCGCTGACGGCGAGCTGATCGGGCTCAGGATGCGCGCGCCGCGGTCCGAGGGCAGCTCGGCGCCGGGAGTCGCCCTGGGGCTCAACGAGAGGGCCGCGCCGAGGGCCGAGTTCCGCGACGCATGGTGGCGCGCGGCGCGGCTAAAGCGTGGGCCGCAGCAGTCGACGACGGCCTCGCGAGCAAGGCTGTCCTCGGGTTGGTATGTCAGCGGGCCCAGGACATCCTCGGGGCCAAAGAGCACGTGGGCGCGCTGTGCTGACCCACCCCGGGCTGCCGCGCTATCTTTTATGCGCGTCGCCTGGCTGCTCTCCAGATTTGACAGCCTCGCCGAGCATCGCGGGCGCGGGGTAGACATGCAGTTTTTGTTCCACCTGGGGAGCTGGTCGAGGTGACGAGACTAGTGGCGTTTTCGGCATCGGATGTCATGGCCCTCCGTCGGATTAAGGCCACCTGGGTTTCTGTGATCCACTGCGGCCCAGTGCCAGCGGGGATTATTCGCGCGAGCTGCGAGATCCGGGGCGAGAGGCTCGCGAGCTGCGAGATCCGGGGCGAGGGGCTCGCGAGCGAGTTCAGGTGTGCTGACCGCGGGGCCCGCCGATGTCAGCAGCGCCTTGCTGGGGCGGGCAAAGCTTGCAGCCCGAGCAGCGGGCAGTGCGGGGCCAGCGGCGCCGCGTAGCACCGCGTCTCTGATTGCGCTTGCACCTCTGCAGCGCGGCGGGAGGGCTGCCCCCCTGAGCTCCTGAAGGCCGCGGGAGGCGCGGCCGCCGTCGACGATCAGCGCGCCGGGTTTCTGGCGAGAGGCACCCTGCCCCTTCCTAGCTGTGCTTCTTGGCGCGCTGATGTTGACGAGGCGGGCTAGTGCAGATTCGTCGTGCGCGAGCAGGCCGGCTCTTTGAAAGGGGAGGTGTTCGTGGGCGCGTCTGCGTTCCGCGGCCACTGCGGAGGCCTGCGCGTTGCGGGCTGGGCGGCGGTCTGCATCCGCGGCGACGGCAGCTTCCCCGCGCCATGTGCGGCGCCGCCCCTTTTGCTGAGTCTCCAGCAAGTGCTCCAGAGACGCGGCAGATTCTGCGTTTCACGCGGTGACTCAGTGTCCTGTATTGCCAGAGGTGAACGGGCCTCTCCCTCTCTCTCTGTTTTTTTTTTTTTTTTTTTTTTTTTTTCTCTCTCTCTCTCTTTCTCTTTTTCTCTCTCTGTCTCTCTCTGTCTCTGTCTCTGTCTCTGTCTCTGTCTCTGTCTCTGTCTCTGTCTCTGTCTCTCTCTCTCTCTCTCTCTCTTAAAATGCTAATACGATCATTATTAGTATTATCATCATTATTTTGTTTGTTAACATGTTTAGTGTTGTTGTTATTCTTAGTAGCGTTTTATTTTTTTATTTATTTATTTATTTATTTATTATTATTCCCCACTTGCTTCGTGGGGTTCTGGTTTTCTTCCCACCCGCGCCGCACCCGCGTCTCACCCACACCCGCCCTCCTCTCTCTTTCTTCCTCCCCTCAGTCACACACACACACACACACTTCACTCTTCCCCCCCTTGTCACAGCACTGCTCAGCTCAGCTCAACTCACCTCAGCACAGCACAGCACAGCTCAGCTCAGCACAGCACGGCACAGCTCGGCTCATCTCAGCACAGCTCAGCACAGCCCACCACGGCCCAGCTCAGCACAGCACAGCACAGCTCGTGGCACTTTCTCGACACCACAGGGGGTGCGCAGGGGTTGGTCTCTCAGCTCGGCCGCTATCCACGACACTGGCGCAAAACCTAGCAGGCGTGGCACTCTCTCGACACCAAAGGGGGTGGGCAGGGGGTGGTCTCTCAGCTCGGCCGCTATCCACGACACTGGCGCAAAGCCTAGCAGGCGTGGCACTTTCTCGACACCACAGGGGGTGCGCAGGGGGTGGTCTCTCACCGCGGTCCCTATCCACGACACTGGCGCAAAGCTAGCAGGCGTGGCACTTTCTCGACACCAAGGGGGTGGCAGGGGTGGTCTCTCAGCTCGGCCGCTATCCACGACACTGGCGCAAAGCCTAGCAGGCGTGGCACTTTCTCGACACCACAGGGGGTGCGCAGGGGGTGGTCTCTCAGCTCGGCCGCTATCCACGACACTGGCGCAAAGGCTAGCAGGCGTGGCACTTTCTCGACACCACAGGGGGTGCGCAGGGGGTGGTCTCTCAGCTCGGCCGCTATCCACGACACTGGCGCAAAGCTAGCAGGCGTGCAGCACTTTCTCGACACCACAGGGGGTGCGCAGGGGGTGGTCTCTCAGCTCGGCCGCTATCCACGACACTGGCGCAAAGCTAGCAGGCGTGGCACTTTCTCGACACCACAGGGGGTGCGCAGGGGGTGGTCTCTCAGCTCGGCCGCTATCCACGACACTGGCGCAAAGCCTAGCAGGCGTGGCACTTTCTCGACACCACAGGGGGTGCGCAGGGGGTGGTCTCTCAGCTCGGTCGCTATCCACGACACTGTCGCAAAGCCTAGTAGGCGTGGCACTTTCTCGACACCACAGGGGGTGCGCAGGGGGTGGTCTCTCAGCTCGGCCGCTATCCACGACACTGGCGCAAAGCCTAGCAGGCGTGGCACTTTCTCGACACCAAAGGGGGTGGGCAGGGGGTGGTCTCTCAGCTCGGCCGCTATCCACGACACTGGCGCAAAGCCTAGCAGGCGTGGCACTTTCTCGACACCACAGGGGGTGCGCAGGGGGTGGTCTCTCAGCTCGGCCGCTATCCACGACACTGGCGCAAAGCCTAGCAGGCGTGGCACTTTCTCGACACCACAGGGGGTGCGCAGGGGGTGGTCTCTCAGCTCGGCCGCTATCCACGACACTGGCGCAAAGCCTAGCAGGCGTGGCACTTTCTCGACACCACACGGGGTGCGCAGGGGGTGGTCTCTCAGCTCGGCCGCTATCCACGACACTGGCGCAAAGCCTAGCAGGCGTGGCACTTTCTCGACACCACACGGGGTGCGCAGGGGGTGGTCTCTCAGCTCGGCCGCTATCCACGACACTGGCGCAAAGCCTAGCAGGCGTGGCACTTTCTCGACACCACAGGGGGTGCGCAGGGGGTGGTCTCTCAGCTCGGCCGCTATCCACGACACTGGCGCAAAGCCTAGCAGGCGTGGCACTTTCTCGACACCACAGGGGGTGCGCAGGGGGTGGTCTCTCAGCTCGGCCGCTATCCACGACACTGGCGCAAAGCCTAGCAGGCGTGGCACTTTCTCGACACCACAGGGGGTGGGCAGGGGGTGGTCTCTCAGCTCGGCCGCTATCCACGACACTGGCGCAAAGCTAGCAGGCGTGGCACTTTCTCGACACCACAGGGGGTGCGCAGGGGGTGGTCTCTCAGCTCGGCCGCTATCCACGACACTGGCGCAAAGCCTAGCAAGCGTGGCACTTTCTCGACACCACAGGGGGTGCGCAGGGGGTGGTCTCTCAGCTCGGCCGCTATCCACGACACTGGCGCAAAGCCTAGCAGGCGTGGCACTTTCTCGACACCACAGGGGGTGCGCAGGGGGTGGTCTCTCAGCTCGGCCGCTATCCACGACACTGGCGCAAAGCCTAGCAGGCGTGGCACTTTCTCGACACCACAGGGGGTGCGCAGGGGGTGGTCTCTCAGCTCGGCCGCTATCCACGACACTGGCGCAAAGCCTAGCAGGCGTGGCACTTTCTCGACACCACACGGGGTGCGCAGGGGGTGGTCTCTCAGCTCGGCCGCTATCCACGACATTGGCGCAAACCTAGCAAGCGTGGCACTTTCTCGACACCACAGGGGGTGCGCAGGGGGTGGTCTCTCAGCTCGGTCGCTATCCACGACACTGTCGCAAAGCCTAGCAGGCGTGGCACTTTCTCGACACCACCTACGTCCTCCTCGCCGTTGTGCATATATATATATATATATATATACATATATATATATATATAAAACATAAGCAAACACATACGATTTAAATTAAGTATGTGGGGTTCCTCGGTAGCGTACTTATCATTATTATTAGTAGTGATCGTAATATTAATATTCGTATTATTATTAATCGTAATACTCGTACTGCTACTCATAAATGTTTATATAGGTGTATATCTATACACACAAGTGGCACGTGTGTGCCCAGGCTCAGACAAAACACTGAAGGGGCGTTTGAAGCAGGAGTAAAATACAACAGCGAAGTCGCACTCGAGCGCAAGTGGGGTTGCCACACCTTGCGATGTGTGTACCAGGGCCCCCCAGGAAGCCCCAGGAGGCCCGACTTGGATACCAGAAGAGGCTCCAGGAGGCCCCAGGACCGTGAGTGTGGTGTGTGTGTGTGTGTGTGTGTGTGATGTGTGTTCTGTGTTGTGCGTGCTTTTTGTGCGTTGTAGGTGTTGTGTGTGTTATGTTTGTCTAGCGTGTGATGTGTTGGGCGTGATTTGTGTCTCTGTGTGTGCATGTAGTTCTGAGGCCCCAGGAGGCCCCAGGAGGCCCCAGGCGGCTTCAGGAGGCCCCAGGAGACCCTAGGAGGCTTCAGGAGGCCCCAAGAGGCTCCAGGAGGCCGCAAGAAGACCCATTAGGCCCCAGGAGGTTTCAGGAGACCCTCAGGAAGCTCCGAGGCGGGGTCTGGGGTACCAGAAGGTTCAGAAAGCCCCAGGAGGCCCCAGGAGGTTCCAGGAGGCGGCCAAGAGGCTCCGAGGCGGGGTCTGGGGTACCAGAGGGTACGTCGGGGCTCGATGTTGGGAGGATGTTTCAGGCGAAACCGCCATTCTCTGAGAATCGGGGTCGAACTTATTGAAATTACCATGTGTTTTGAAGGTTTTATGCTAACATGTTGAAGTTCCAATGTGCTTTTGGACCTTGACGTCACGATCTGCGTGAGGGGTGCCACCGATTTTCAGAATTTCGAGGATGTCCCTGGCGAAACGGCCAGAAACATCGCGGACGCGGCGCCCCG